TGTACTTTGGTATCGCGCACACACACACACACACACACTCCCATATGAATACACACACACACACACACACACACACACCTTATCTCATCAGCTAAAATACACAAAGACCGTCCCTTTTAATTTCATCCTTAAACGCTCTTAAATATTAATCAGCAGTACATGCCAAGACTCTTAATGGCAGCAAAACCACATAAGAGTGTGTGTGTGTGTGAGAACAGGTAGCAGAACACAAGAGCAAGACAACAGAAAATGAGGTTTTCACACATGCACGCAAACACACTAATGGCTGCTCATTAAGGCAGAGGCGCCTCTGGGTCAAAAGCCCGTAAAAGCTTCAATAACCACAGGGTCATTCTTAAACAGACGTATACGGGGACATGTCCTATAGTATCAGAAGGGGTCAACAGTCAGGACTGAGGCATGAGCTGAAGCAGGGCTCAGAACAAAAGTTTCTTACTCTAAGTCATGAACCAGTGGGTCTGACCTGTGACTGGGACACCGTGCTCTCTTTTGGATGCTTCTTGAGAACATTCAGATAAGATACCACTGTGAGTTAGCATTGTGTGACGCTGACATGACTTAACACCTTTAATTTCACAGCACGAGGACAAACAGCGCAGCTTCTTAGATGTGCGCTGCAGAATTTATGTATTTTATGAAATTTCTCCTCCCTATGGGAGCTTCAGACAGACCACATTCTATCCAACAGGCTCATAATCACTCCATCACAGGATATTTCCACAGACTAGAGTTCTTTCCTCAGTTCTTGGTTGTTGTGTCGCTGGGCTCCTTCAGTCGCTGCCTCGCACAGCGGGGTGTGCTGAGTAACAGCACTCCGATTCCATTGACAATGAATGGGCAGCTGTGGCTGGCCCAGGGGATTCTGTCCATATGTCTGAATGCCCAGTAAGAGAGTTCTATGCTGTTGCTGCAGAGTTTCATCAATTTCTGAAGACCACCAGATCTGATGTTTGCTGATACGGCACCATCTTTCCAAAACTTGGCAAAGTCACAACTCATCCTCCTCATTAGCTCTGATTTATGTCTGAACAATAGGGATTAATGGACGGACCTCCCAGCATAATTAATTTCCAATCTGGGTTTTGTCTTATACTGTTACTGCTGAACACATTTTATGTTCAGTGTTTTCTGATGTCTCGCCTGTGTCTAAACTGTGCGACTTGATGCTTTTGAGAGTAAATATTAAGACTCTGATTTAAAGACTAATATTCCAAATTAAATGATTAACTTAATTTCTGACCTTGTGGACTAAACTCAAGTTGGAAACAAGAAGAGTAAAGTGAGCAAATGAGTCATGACCACCTGATGAACAGCACATCAGGCTGTCCACTTTAATATTTTTTTTATAGATGTGTGTGATTACTATCTGACCTCCATATGAAAAACCTCTTCAGAGTATCAGTACACGTTGCCAACAAGATGAACTGATAAGGCACCTCGATCCTCTTAACCAGCGATCTGATGTTTGCTGATACTTAAAAATATTACCACAATGCAATTCAGTTCAATTGGATTCAGGGGCTGGTGATCAATATCAAACAGTTATGTGCCTACAGTATGTCACAGTTACATTTTTATTAACTGAAATGCATCCAAGGTATTTTAAAATTTTATTGAGCTCCTGTTTGAAGTTCTATTTAAAAACAAATAACTGGCTGTCAAAATAAAAGAATACATAACATTGTTTACGTTTTGCATCGATGACATCAGATCAGATGTTTGACTAATGGATCTTCGCACCCCTAATAATTATACACGATATTAAATCCTGAGCTAAAATGAGTTCCATCATCATAAAAACAGGTTTTAGGACTCGACTAAAAAGTTAACTTATTGTTATTTTTTTTATTTTGATAGATTTTACATTATCCTAGGCTCACCTAGGAAGAGGTGGAAAAGCAGCCTGTAAAACTAGGACAAGACTGTCTTCAGCTGCCTCTGCTCTCTGTCCCCCACACACACTCACCACAGCGGCAGCATCGGCCACTCCGAAGGCGGCCTTCTGTCTCCGTGCTGTGATGTGGCTGCTGTTCTCCTGTACCTTCTCCAGCAGCTGGCGCACCGGCTTGCAGTAATTGGCCACTTTGCATTCCTTCAGGAACAATTTCAGCTGCAGTAACATGAAGGGGGGGTATAAGAAAGAAGGAACCAGCGTTAAGGATCATCCAGTCCACCCAGAGAGCAGGGGAGGGTTTGTAGTCATGTCCCCTGAGAAGAGCAGATTCAGCCCAGAAACCAAATCTTCTTTTCAGAGGGAATTTAAACTCTTAAATGATGTTCACCGTCACCGATTTCTCATTAGTTCACATGAAATCAGAGCGATTCTTTAATTCTTTGTATATGTGAGGAAATTCCATGGTCAGTTTAAAGGTAGTGTTACCTGAATGATGGTTGGCAGGGCCAGCTCTGGGAAGCCAATGGAACTGGCCTGTGTGTGGAAGTATTCCAGTATCAGGTCATACAGCTGGTCAATCAACCCCTCCTACAAGCAGAACCCAAATATGTGAAACTTCATATTTATCACTTTGCTTTTTGCTGTGCAAATAAACTCAGTGACGGATAGCTATGTTAGCACTACACACACACACACACACAGTTTTTATTTTGATATTTATGCAGTTCACACCCAGTCCATGGGCCACATTCACCAACCGTTCTCAAGAACAATTTTGCTTGTAAAACCCACTTACGAAGTTTTCACAAAGATTCTGGCATTCACCGCCGTTTCTTATCTGGGACTGTTCTTAGGTAACAGAATCTACACACATATGCACATTTGGGTGCTGACCTTTGAGTGAAATAAATGGCTATTTGGTTTCCTTCAGTTAGATAATATAAGATTTAAAATTTGTAAATTTAGTTTTATTAAATTTTCTAATTTAATGAGATCAGACTCAGTTGAAGGGACCGAGTGCACACATGGACATCTGCTCAGCTGATGCATACCCAAGGGAGCCGTGTGGCCCCGATGCCCCTTTCTTAAGAACAACCTACGAAGAAATTTAAGAAAACACTTAGGAAGAATTTGGTGAATGCAGCCCAATAATCTTAAATAGTACAAATAGTACAAAGCTAAAAAGTAAACTGCCAGAGGTTTGAAAAAAACAAACAAAAAAAAAACTAGGACACCCAAATATTCAATAATTCTGGTATTTGTATTTTGGAAAGGTAATCAGTTTTCAATTTTGGTATTCGAATTTTCAAAATGGCAGGAAATTTCAGTGCTGATGCAGTCTGAGCTTGACAGTCTGGTCCCCTGGCTCTAGCATCTCTGAACATGGAGTAAATATCCAAATACACATTACCCGGATAGACAGACTAGATATTCGAAATCTAAATAGCTGCTGTCTTGTCTGCAAAATATATATATTTATTGTGTTAAAACACAAACAACGCCTCTTTACCATAGCAAGGTAGATAGGCAGTGAGCTGCAACCTAATTTTCACCTAAACTAGCCATTTTGATGAAACATCATACATTAAGCCAGCTGTGACAGTTGCTCAGGGACCGTCTACAAAGTGCAACACTTAAAAGAGGTTCTACAAAAATATTCAATAGCTTTGCTCTAAGACACATTTTTCCAAACTACTGTAAGTGTTGTGGTACAACCAACAGGAGACCAGTGATGTGTGAAGTACTTTTGGTAACACTACCATAATACTGAATATTTTTGTAGTATCCCTTTCTAATACATTTTCATATTTTATTCTATGATATAAAATACGGCAGTAAATACCCCACTTGTGATTGTTTTATGCTTTTATACATCTTAAAAAGGCAGTTGCTAACAAGTGGCTAAATGAGACTGCAGAGGTTGTCTGGGATATTAAATATCATGCCGCTGAACACAGAGACTAATCTAGTCACTAGTCCTTTAAACTCATGCACAACATTTTTAACTTATGTGAATTATTATAACTGACACAGCCATGCTCACAAGCTAGATCACGTCACACTAAGGGGAAAGGATTTTGTAGAAGAGGAATGTGCTGTAAATCAATTTACAAGTTGAAGTAGTGGTGGTGACGAAGTCATGAATGAAAGTTTCATTGAACAAGTGTATCCTAGCAAACACATTGATGTTTTCTTGCCCTAGTCTGCTGTGAGTCTATGAGGGTTCATGATAGCCGCCCAGGTGAGAGTAGTGAAAACATAATCCCAGGATGCCATGCTGCAATCCTCTTGGCTGTAGCACTGAGTGTGGTGACTCACGGACAATTTTAGAGCCCTGACAAGGAACCTTCAGGTGCAGCCCTAAGTCCCCTTATAAACACACACAGCAGCAGAGAGCAACACAAACATCCTACAGTCCTACCCTCTGCTCTCACTAGTGGCGATCACAGTAATACTCACCTTGTAGGCTTTCTCTATTAGGTTGACCTTGCTAAGCTTCAAGATGACTGCAAAGTTGATGGGTTTCTTGCTCATTCGTCCATGTTTCTTATTAAAGTCCACTTGCTGGAAGATCTGTCAAGTAAAGATATAGATAGTTAATTCTGAACTCAGACCAAACTGCTCAAAAATGACCAGTTTTATTGGTATAAATATACAATTCATCTTCAGATAACAGAACAATACATGGACCCAGAACCCAAAGCAAATACAAAACACATGACAAATTATAAGAGCTTGGGTAACTTTTCCAGAGTGTTTCAAAAGGTCAAAACCGGTCAGTATGTAATAAGTTGTGTAACTAATGAAGTATTTTATTACTTCAATATTGCCACTACACTTAGTGTCTGCAGTTAGCTTCTGCATCCATTTAACAAATCTCTTTCTTCACACTGAAACATCACTCTTTCATTAGTTCAACGTAACGACTGTACATGGTGCATACTTATCACTGGAACTAATTGCACATTCTGTACTGATAATGAACGTTCCATATTGCACTGATGTTTTCTTGCATATATTTTCTATTACTACTATTTAACATTCTATATTTTTCTCTTTAATTTTCAACTCTCAACTGTGTTCATAGTGGAAAGGCAAAGAAAGAATTTCATTGCATAAGGAAACTTGTTTCTTATTGTGCATGACAACAAACGCTTTGACTATGAAAATGTCCGTCATTAATGAGACATTAATGTTGGTCCTCTACCAATAATAATAATAATGGTCAGTCTACAATGCCACGTTTAATACTGCATTGTTACTGAGATGACATTTCTATCTTAGGCCATGTAAGTACATTCTAGCCATTGTGTGGGCTTTTTGTATACAAGTTTAGCTTTCACATCTGCCCACGGCGTGCAAGTGAATTTCTGTCTTGTGTTTCTATATCGAGCTATTTCTGACCCCCGATATCTCTGTGTATTTCTGTGCATTAGTGTGTGGGGGGTCATTACTGTGCTCAGTGTGCGAAGGAGAGCAACGTTCCTGGCCGGTGCTGTCTCTACAAACATAGGATGTGGTGGCAGTCTGCGGGGGAGCCAGGGGGAAGTGGGAAGACATGGGCCAACCTTGGTGCATGCACACACGTACACAAGCACGTACAGCTACTGAAGCAGGAAGCTTCAACTTGTACGCCCCCCCTCAGAGATTCGAGAACACACACAGACACAAGCACACAGGAGGAGGGGGCTGCCTCTGCTGTTCTAATTAAAACATTTGCACAGTATCTCAGTCTGCTTTTAAAAAGAGGAACAGTAAAGGAGAAAAAAAAATACACAGGAAATATTGTGAGTCACTAATAAACACAGCTTGCTGTGGGGGTTAGGGAAAGGGGGGGTGGGCTCTGGGTGTGTGCAGGGGGGAAAATAAGAGGTGGAGAGTGGGTCATAGGCAGAGAGGATGTGGTCTGCACAGTGTGATGTAAACCGCAACCATGCCTTTAGCGCTTCGGTCAAACTGCCGCATGCACACGCACATACAGGCATGTGCTGACCACTCCCAGCGGACCGAGCTAGTTGCTGCCGCCAGCTCACTGCTCCCTTCTGGGAAACCACAACACTATCCCACAGCATACATAAACACACACACACACACACACACACACACACACGCGCAAGAAAAATAGACATACACCGCACAATCACGTGCGCAACACCTGACCCAGAGAAAAGGTTGTCAGTTGGTGACCTGTGATTGGTCTGATAAGAAAGGTGTGTCTAACACACACACACACACACACACACACACACTTCTACCCTTCGATGCGTTTCCTCCTGAGCTCCTTCAGTTGTGGCCGTTGAGAGCAAAATGTATTTCACACGCCGCTGTTTTTCCACAGTAAACCACCGACGGAACATTTCATCACATCTACGTTTCCATTTGTGACAAAAACGAACAACTGTTGTCGTTCATCTTTTAAAACTATTCGAGGTTCTCGAGCAGTGTTTTGGTGTGAAAGACTTCAGAATAAACTGCTGGAAGCTTGATCATCTACCCAGCTCTTCTCAAGCTGGACTGATCCTGTCAGATCCACATGGTGGTTTCAGCAAGTCTTACCTCCAGGAGGAAAGGCAGGACAGGCACAAATGTGTTGGTACTGCTAGAGAGCAAGGTGAGGGTTCTGCAACAGTGCATCCTCAGAGGGTAGTATCTTGCTGTGGGCACCAGTCTGTTCAGAGACAGAAAACAGTGGTCAATGTCTCCACCTGCTGTTGGTAAAACATACAGTGACATAGTACAGCAACACTAACAAATGATATGATGTTACGCTTCTCATAAAATTAATGCCAGGCAGCAGCCTCACATTGCTTTGCCACCATTAAAGGGGGTAACCAATTATCAACAAATGACTGGTGTGTGTGTGAATCCAAATATTCTTGTAGTCATGTATAAGATTTCCCACTACTGTTTAAAAATGCTGTCATCAATGTTGTGACAGAAACACACACTTCCTTGATTTTATCATCTTTCCAGTGTTAACAATCCCCACCTCCCCAAATTTTCTGTGCAAAATCTTACTTTTAAACAAACAAAAGGCATGGGGCTGTGCTAATTTGCACTTATTTTGATAATCAAGTATTAGTTGAAGTAAATAATGCAAACCAAATATCTTCAGGTTCTGAACTTCTGGTTTGACAAAACAGGCAATTTGAAGACACCACCTTGGGCGCACAGTAATTTGGATGGGTGTTTTCACTTTTCTCTGACATAGATAGGCCAAACAATTCGTTGTTTGAGAACATTATCAATAGCTTAACTAATAATGAAAGTAATTATTTGCAGCCTTACTATTAACATAAATAAAGAATATACTAATTTGATTTACTTCTGACAGTGTTAAGATAAACTGACAATCAGACGTTCTGGCATATTCATACCACATACTGTCAAACACATACATGAATGTTTAAAAGATTGCATAAATACACCTACTTGATGGTGCCAATTATGATCTGGCAGAGTGGATAGATGAGAGGCTGGAGAACAATGCTGGGGTGCAAGGTGCTGAGGACCCGACACCAGAGGTACAGACAGTGGACAAACTGCCAATTATACACGGACTGATATGTTTCCTAGAGAACACAAACACACAGCAGCAGCAGAGTCAGTGTCTAAGGCTATGTTCACATTACCTGCTGAAGTTGCCCAAATCGTTTCCCTCCAAGTGGGTCAGAAAAGATTTTTTTTTGTTTTTTTAATTAAATGTAAGAAAAAAACTATTGTATTTTTTTGATATCATCTCTGGCCCACTGAAGTGAGCACTAAGGCCTGTAATGATTAACTGATGTGTATCGGAAAATCGATACTGGGATCAAGAGATACAGCTGCATCGTTTGAAAACCACACATTTTAAACAAATTCCATGGATCAATGTGGACAAAAACCAATCTCTGGCAAGTTTCCTCCCTTTGTGCTCCAACCTCTAGTGGATGTGTAGGCTGCATTTCCTGCCAGTGTCTAACTGCATGCCTACATCTAGTGACCGAGATCATGGGAAAAAGAAAAAAAAACTTTCCCAAAACCTAAACACGTCTGAGGCCACCAGCTAGCCAACAGGCAAAGTATGAAAAGTGTTTCAGATTCTGCAAAAACAATAAAGGGAATCATGATAAAACAACTGCAACATGCAGCACATGTCCCAAACACGTGGAGTACAACAAGCCTTGATACTCACTTACACAGGTGACACCGTGTTGAATCTGAGAAAAAAAAATGCTGACTATAGGACAGGTAGCCGTAGTCAGCAGTTAGCGTGACACAGGTAACACTGCTAGTGTTAGTAGCTACTGCAGTCAACAGCTACTTTATTTGCATTCTATTTTAATGTATCTTTGTGTGTCTGTCTCTTTGAAGCCTTCAAAAGAAGACCATCTCCCTAAGCACATACACCATTCAAAAACCAACCTTTTTCTTCATGGTCATGGCGTTTCTAAGGTGGATGGCTAGCTGTCGGATATAGATGAAGGCATGTTGGTAAGTGGCCTGTGTGTCCAGGGAGTACATCTCTGTTAGAGTTCGTTGCATGAAGTTTATCATGGGCAACGCATTGGGAGACGTGAACTTGCAGTTTTGTACGTAGGAAATGTACATTTGCTGCAGAGAGAAAGAAAAACACGATAAATAGGAGAGAGAAAAATATGGTAGACAACACAGCTCTGCACTGGCTTTACAGGCTTGATGTGGTTTTGCAGTGAACACCTAATAAAAAACAATACTAAAATATACACGTTTCTCTGCCTGTGTATCATAATGTTTTAAAGACACGTACTTCCAGCACACTGCCTGTTCTAGTCTATTTTAAATCCAGGTGAGATGTGTACTGTACTCTGCTTTTAGCTCACCTTGAGAATAGGGTTAAGATGTGTTTCCTGCTTGTGCCTGCAGATTTTGTTGAGGGCCAGGAAGGCAAGAACTCGACTCGTTTCCTCCCCAGTGCTCCACTGCTTCATTAGTTGCTATATACAAAGATGTAAGGATAATTAAAATAAACATAAGGATACATTAAAAGTACTGCTGTCAATGGATACAATTATTTATGATTAATCACGATTGTCCAGAGTCAGCTCGTGATTAATCACAAATAAAACTTTATCTGTTCTAAACAGTGATGGAAAGTAACAAAATACATTTAAGTACTGTACTTAAATATAATTGAGATAGCTGTACTTGAGTGTTTTTGTTTTCTGTTACTTCAAAGTTTGACTTCACTACATTTAAAAGGAAAATATTGTACTTTTTACTCCACTACATTTATAACTTTAGTTACTTTTCAGAACCAGATTAATATAACTGATCCCTGGTGGAAGTTCCCAAGCCTCCCACCAGTAATTCAAATTAAATGCATCTGACAGTTAAAACTAGCTCCTGTTTTACCAGATGAACATAATAATGTATCAGTAATTATAATACAATAATGTGATTTACAGGAATGTGAAATGTGCCATTCTGAATGAGTACTTTTGTTTTTAGCATTTTAAGCATGTTTTGATGCCAATACTTTTGTACTTTTACTTAAGTAACATTTTGAATGCAGGACTTTTACTTGTAACAGAGTATTTTTTACCCTGTTGTATTGCTACTTTTACTTAAGTAAAGGATCTGGGTACCTCTTCCACCACTGGTTCTAAATGTACCACAAAGGGAACTCGAGGTAACTGATTACTGAGAGAAGTCTAGTAGTCGCCTGTAAGCGCAACCATGTTTGTCTGTCCCAACGCCCCCTCCACTTCAGCTTTCTCGTCTTCATACAAGTTGTGTATCTTGGTTACAGTGGTGGCTCTCGAAGGCAATTCATACGTTCAGTCTTTGGATGAGAAGCAAATTATTTCAAGCAGACCCTCGTCCTCCACAATGTTAATTGGCCTGCAAGCTGCAGTCACCCATTTAGCTATTGCTGTTGAAAGTTTGTAGCTTGCAGGGTTGTCCAGGTGTCTCTGTTGGAAACTATCCAGCATGATCTGTCTTTGACAAGGGGGAGGAGGGCTCTCTGCATCAGCTGTGTGCTTGGCCAGCAAGTGGTGTTTGAGACACAACATACCCCAGTGGTAACTCAATTCATATCGACAGTAAATGCAAATAACTTTGGTCTTTTCGAGAGACCATCTGGCAGGGCTTTGAAGCTGACCTTGCCATTCAAGACCCTTTCTTTATCCATTTCTGCTGCTGCCTCACTTCCTGATTTCCCAAACTATGGGGCAAGCCAAGGGTCATATTCACAGAATGTTTGTGCGTTAATCATGTATCAAAACAATTAGTGGTGTTAAAAGCAATTTGCATTAACCTGTTAACACGCTAAATTTGACAGTCCTAATTAAAATACAATTTCCCAATAAACAATTAAACATCACATTCTCTGTCACCCTACAGCGAAGAAAGTCTTACCTTAATCAGGTGACGACACTGTTTGGGTAGACAAAGGTAATAAGGGATGAGCTGGTTGGCATGCCGCAGCACAGCACTGACAACTGTAGCCTCTGTTAGACAGGATAACAGCTACCAGAGAAGAAGAAGACAGCACGGTGTTAGTGGAAGAGGATAATTACAGGGATGCAAAGGGAGAAGAGCAAGCAAACATCTCTGTACTAGGGGCTGCACAGACTAGTTGACTAGTTAACTTCACGACAGATCTGACATTTTCAAGTATGTCATTGACTAGTTCCTGACCACACGATTGTGCCGCTAACAACATGGCAGCCGCGGCAAATAGGGTAGGTGATGAACCTACGGATTGTATGGAGATACTTCACTTAGGACCTGCAAAATATGCAAACCTGTCCCTAAATACAACAGAGGTACATCTACAATACACATCTCAAAGCATCCAAAAATACTAGCTGAAACACAGACCAGTCCTGCTGCAGAGCATATGTCAATTAACACCTTCACCAGACACTGATTTAAATGGAAGTTGCTGCCCACCAGTGTTGCTGTTTCATTAAATTTCTAACACAAGCCTGCATAATGTTACGTAGCATAGAGTTAACTAAAATAGTAGCCTAAGTCTCTGTTTTTTATGAGAAGTGAAACCTGTACACTGTAAAACGTGTGTGCTAGCTGGATATACACTCAGTGACTTTATTAGGTACACCTGTACAATTGTATGCATTTCAATGCAACACTTCCATCTTAACATCTGTGCTTATGAAGCTCAAAATGGTTCAGTTTTTGGTGAAACTGTCATAAATATATAGAAAGTCACTTTCGGCTTTTCCCATTTAGGGGTCGCCACAGCGCATCGTCACACTGACAACTCGCATATTGATATTTGGCACGTGTTTTACGCCGGATGCCCTTCCCGATGCAACCTTGATTCGAACCCGGGGCGCAGCGGGCAGAGAGCGCTGTGCCTTAACCACTAGCCTACCAGGGACGGCTTGACTGTCATAGATGTATAAATTCAATTATATGTTTATTATTGAGATCATAGTTAAAGGTGGCGTTGTACTAGACTACATCATATTTAGAGGTGCATCTATGTTTTTGTCCTCCCCAGACAGTGAGAATATTAGGAGCAAATAAAAAAATAAACACAAAACAAACCTGAACCACTCCACTGAGATACATTTTGATGTCGATCTGATTCCTCTGCCACTTTGAACTAGATGATGGGAGTACCAACCTAAAAACAGAAGAAACAAGGTGAAGAAACAAAACCATCTTTCCACAGCTACATAACCTCTTAATAAGAAATGACAGGAGCAGATATTAATATTTGTCCATACTTTTTCTGTTCTTTGTCTGGCTTCAGGTTGAGCATCCTCTGCAGGGCCACATAAATATCTCTGATGCAGAAAAGGACTAAAGCATTGAACACTGCAGACAGTACAGGAAAATACATATTAATACATAATCAGAGTGAAACATATTGAATTATATCACTTCATTAAATACAACTCTCTTAATTCCAGGGCTGCCCCCAAATAGTCAAGTTATTATTCGAGAGACCGTCATTTGACTGAGCCTCTTGTAGTCGAGCCTTGTTTTTATTTTATTATATTTAATTTTTTGTCAGCCAGTGTACATTACAATAAAAGGCAGCCCCAGCCTAGTAGTTTGTCTTGCTCCCCTCATTTTGGTGTGCCAAGCAGCTATTTGCTCAGTACTTCCCCCCTGTGGTCAGGGGGTATACCTACTTCAATGGTGACTGTCCAATGTCTGAATATACATGTACATTAAGGTCGGATCTATTTAGCAAACTGCAGAATAAGGAGAAAATGACAACAAAACCCACTAGGACAAGCCACATAAAAGGTGAGATTTGTACTGTATTAGAAGTGTTTGTGGTCTACTTTTTCAAGAGAAAAGACTGTTGCAATGATGTGGCTGGTTATGCATGGCCTGATGCTAAGTCCAGTTTGTTTACCCATTTCCATTAAAGTGCAACACACAGCCGTTTACCGACTGTTTCTATGACATGCATCCATCCAAACGGCACTAGGAAGCTAACAAAAATGCAAGGGGAAAACATTCAGTGTGGAATTATAAATAAGAAGAACTGTTCTCAGTGCGACCTGGCACACGTCAAATGCACAGTAACAACATGCACTGTGGTCAACTGACGAGAGAAGCTTAAATTTGTTGGTAAACTAGGCTATAACCTAGCTTAGTTTAGTGAAAGTGGTTTTGTTTGCTGATGACACTACCATTTGGGCATCGGGTGAAAACCTACAGCAACTATCTGGACGGGTTACACAGGACCTTGAGAAGATAAAGAAATGGTGTGACAGTAATATAGTATCTCTGAATTTGGATAAAACTAAATTTATGGTATTTGGGAATCGCAGACTAGACAATGAACTTCAATTGAAAATTGGGGGAGCGAATATCGAACGAGTATATGAAATTAAATTTCTAGGTGTCATAGTTGATGACAAATTCTCCTGGAAATCTCATATCAGATATGTTCAGAACAAAATAGCAAAAAATATATCGATATTGGCAAGGGTTAGATATA